AGAAATCTACAACAACTAAACGCCAAGTATGAAACACCACTGCTGGTGAGGGTGCGCACGCTCCAAAGCGTGACTATAACTCAGCCTTTAGAATCATATCGATGAGACGATTCCATAGGGCATGATTCTGCTTTGTGGACTGGACTGGCACAGTCCCAATGGGTCTGCCAGCTCCCTCTGGAAAGCTCCTGTGGAACCCCAGTTCAATCGCTGCTGCTGCACGTGCATGCGTGGCGCACGCCGCTCGCTGCGTCGTGCTCCCAGAGCGCAGCAGTGCCAAACTGAAAAATGATTTTTCCTCAAAATGGCTGATGAGCCACTCGTCATCAGAAAATTCTATCTATAAATAAAAACTCTGCATGTAACACTATTTATTATATCCTCCAGTAAGGCTGAATCTGTTCCTGTTAAATTTATTTTTGGCACAACTTTGCGCGTCTTTTATTTAACTGCGTCCATGTGTATGTAATAATTGTTAATCATGTGGATGTAATAATTGTTAATCATGTGATGTAATAATTGTTAACCATGTGGATGTAATAATTGTTAATCATGTGATGTAATAATTGTTAACCATGTGTGTCTGCTGTGAACAATAATCATTTTCACGTCATGAACAGTTTCTCAGAACCACCTCTAAGTGTCGCCAATGGAACCAAAGCCACAGAAACGTGCGTACACCAGCCCTGGAGTTGGTATGGGGCTGCGCACTTTTCCACGTTCAGTTGAGTTTTGATACATCCGGAGTTTTGCGTGGAAAATGACGTACGCAAGGTTTTTGTGCGTACGCACCGTTGATACAYGAGGCCCCTAGTAATCAGTCATCCCTTTAAATCAGGTGTGCTAAAGCAGAGAAACATCYAAAACATGCAGGACTGAAACACGTGCAGAAAATTGACAAACTGTTTATATGATTTAAATTTCAACAAGAGACATATTTTAGTCTCATTTTGTGCAACTAATGTAAAAGTTTAATAGTGAATATTGTGCTCCCACTTTAACCAGTGACTAACAACTACAACAAACTGTAAAAGAATATTTGACATGAATTAGCTCGACTTTATTCTCTGAACAAAGTGGGTGTGTAGTTTCACTGAGGCTAATTTAACAGGTTAACACATGTTCTGCTTCCTTGTTAACCACCGACTATAAAGTCTGTGTAGTAGTTTACAAGTACCACTCTTACTTAGTAAACTACTCGACAGATACTCAGTTTTATCAATGTTGTGTCAYTTAAAACTACAACTGTTAAACCAGGGTTTATCCATTCATTTCGTTGTATAGGTTTACTGTCTTGTATGAGTTGTGGAAACATGTTAAGTGTAAAAAGACTTCCTCCTCACACTAAGATGTATACGGAGATGGTCAAACCGCCTGACAGGAGAGGCAATGTCCTCCACAAGCTAATCTGCAAGGAACACAAAGTTAATTATCGAGTAAGATGATATTATTAAAGTTGCCTAAAAACTAGTTAACCTGTAGCTGCAAGTTTTACGTTACCTAGTGTGAAGAATACCAATAAAATGTGCAGAATGTCAACATTTTAGAGTGGAAGAGAGGGTCTCATTCACCTCATTTATTGGTTTATTTAATAAATGGAAAAACCTCAACCTTTGAACTGATTTCTGTGGTTTGCTTTWAAGTGTCTTGACATGCATTTTCTACAACTAAGGCCCAAGTTTTTTTAAACTGACTGCTTTTTTCACTCATTTTCAGTTAACATCAACCTTTCTAAACCTGACCTACAAAAAAAGCCCCTGAATGAATCTGTGTCATGTCTGCAGTGGGTGTTCAGTGTCCTGCCCTAGGACACGTCGACTGAATAGTAGTGAAATCGAAACGCCAACTCTGATTGGAGAAAGACTCCCCTAAACCACTCAACCACAACCACCTCCGACTAKTTGTACAGAAGATGAGTGGAAAAGCAGCCAAAAGTCAAACACCTTCAGAATGTTTAGAATCTCTACACAGGTTATATACCAGTGGAGGAAACGTAGCAAAAAAAATGTTTGAAACAGATCAAAGAACATTGAAGCTCGTGTCACACAGCTGAGACCGAGGAGAACAACTTGATTGTGATTTTTAACTACAGAATCTGAAAGCTGGTGAGGTTTTATAGTCCTGTGAGTTCACAGCAGCAAAAGACTCATATCTGTGATAAAACTAAAATAAACCGTTTTGTTCAGCAGGTTTACAAAACGTCTCCAAACAACCAACTACAACCATTTTTAATCTTAAGCCGCCTTACCGAGCTTTGATTTGAGCCACTACAAATCTCTAACAATCTCATAACAACTGCTGTTCCCAACATTGTACTGATAAACTAGTTTATTGTTGTCGTTCTGTACAGGAGCACACGGAGTCGGTAGGAGGCACATCAAGAACACGCTCATCGCCAAACATCCTGACCGCTTCGCCTACCCCATTCCTCGTAAGAACACGACAAATCATCCAGTGAAATGTCCACACTGATGCTAGCATATGAACAGTCAAATTAGCATCTTTGTTTACTTTAATCCTCCTCACTGTTTCCTCTGTTCAGACACCACTCGGCCTCCTAAAAAGGACGAGGAGAATGGGAAGAACTACTACTTTGTGTCTCACGACCAGATGATGCAGGACATCAGCAACAACGACTACCTGGAATATGGCAGCCATGAGGACGCCATGTACGGGACCAGGCTGGAGACCATCAGGCAGATCCACGGTCAGGGCATGATCGCCATACTGGACGTTGAGCCACAGGTAACAACAGGAAGTGTTTTGTTTTTTTAAAGGCCTGTTAAGTAGTATTTATATAAAGAATGAAACAGGCCTATGAAAGAGTATCACATGAGCTACATTACACCTATCAACAAACCATTACATAGYAATGACCCAGACAAACTCATTGTCATTAACTCACAGGTTAACACATAGAACAACAGTTTATCCTGCAGCTTGTTGTGTTTTGGTCTTAAAAGAAGAAGATAAACTTTAATTTGGTCAACTTTTTTTAACTAATATGATAAGAGTATCAAAATTATCCAAACATTACTAGCCCCAACATGTTTTGAATTACAGTATGAGCATGAAGCATTCTGGGTTTGAGACAGGTCATTGTTGATTTTATTATTATTTACCGTTATTTTACCAGGCAAGTCCTGTTGAGATCTCAGATCTCTTCTTCAATGGAGGCCTGGGCCTGAAGGCAACCTATTGGACATGTTTTTAGGGGTGGGGGAAACCGGAGTACCCAGAGAAAACCCACGCAAGCACAAGGAGAACATGCAGACTCCACACAGAAAGACCCCAGGTCCGAATTGGGGATCGAACCCAGGACCTTCTTGCTGTGAGGCGTCGGTGCTAACCACTGAGCCGTCGTACTGCCTGTTGTCCAACAACAGAGCAGTGTTGTCACTACCTCATTACTCTGATCRTAAACACCTGTTCTGGTTCCACACAGAACAGTCAAAGCAGCAAAACTTACTCTGTTAATTCAATCCAAGTCAATTTAATGACACTAAAGGGCTCGACACACGGGGAGCGACAAACTACAGCGATTAACGGCTGTCATCGTAGCCAGGGTGAAACCAGACACACAGGATGCGATAGCGATTGCAGCGTTGCGAATCGCGCTCTCAGGTCGCTTGTCTTCACAAAATTTGATTGGTTCTTGACTCTGAAGTGGGGTGTGCATTACGGTCGTGTAAACTAAACAAATCTTGCGATGCTAATGATATTGAAAAACAAACGCACATCAAGATACAGT